TGAAAAGAAAAATCTGATTCAATCCAACTCAGTTAGGATTCAAATTCAAATCTGAAGTCTTCAAATTCGATCAAATTTCATATTGAATTTGGATAGAAGTTTCTAATAATCCGATCAGATTTGGATATTGATCGGAATCTGATCCCTATACAGCCCTAACAATATCCCAACTAGCCAATGTAGCGCAAGTTGAAGTCCTACACCAAAAACAATTGGCGTCATTAATTGAGAATTCCTTCTTGTGATATCAACAAAAACCAAAATGGAATAGTACGAAATTCAAAGGAAAAAGTGATGTTTATCAATCCGGTTTTGCATTCAAGACTCCCTCCCGGCTGCTGCGTTGCTTCATTTTCCTTTTATAACTCCCCTCTATGTTCGGTTTTCTAGCATTGCATACACCGGTTCAAGAACCATCACTTGCTTAGAAGTGGTTACTTCCATAAAACCATCAATGAGACACTATGCACCATTTCCCCTTGTGATCGAAGTGCAAATCAGAGGCCATCATAGGGCATCTTGCATCATTTAATGACCTCGACGGTTTTCAGCAAATCAGAGGCCATCATAGGGCATCTTCCCCAATGCGTCATTCTTAGGAGGGTTTTCAGCAACAACTCTGTCTTGTGATCCATCTTTGGGCTGTTGTTGGTTTTCGTTGCCTTTTGGGGCTGAGCCGTTCTCTGTTGTCGTTGGGGCATGTTAAGATCAACAAAGTGTGAAAGGAGCAAAGTCAACGAATGGAGTGCTTTAGTCACAAGGATCGGTTTCGTGCTCTTGATTCCGGTGGCAAATTTGGGGCAGAGATCGGGCCACTATTTATGAGTCGTCATTCCTTAAGTGGGGAGATAACCCTGTGATTCACCGCAGGGAGAGAGAGAGATCATTGTAAAACATCACTGGCTGGGACAAAATTCACAAGGAAGGAATGAAAGGTGGCCTCCTCGCGCTAATGCAGTGCTGGTTGGATTCTTTCATCCAGTCAACATCAGGGATGAATAAAAATCCAATCCAAGAATCCATTCGAAATTGAACCACCAAATCTTCAACGAGGATTTTGACGCCTTTTTTTCGGAGATGGAACTAGAGATACTAATGTAATCACCATTTACATTAATTTATTTATATCTAAAAAAAGTAAAATCAGATTAAATCCGAATTCGATCCAAATCCATTAAGATTCAAATTCAAATCCGAAGTCTTCAAATTCAATCAGATTTCATATTGAATTTGGATAGAAGTTTATAATAATCCGATCAGATTTGAATATTGATCCGAATCTGACCCCTTTACAACCCTAATAATATCCCAACTAGTGATCACTGCATCTTAAGGATCAAAGTACCGATATCAAATATCGTATCAGACAACTTAGATATGGATACGGATACGTTTTGAAAATGCATGGATATGTATGAAAGATATGAAAATACATGAATACACTAAGAAAATACATACAAATTTCATAAATACATCAATTACACTAACTTTAAGGTCAAAATAACCACAAATAAGATATAAATATATAAGAAATGTATATTTTAATGATATATATTAAAAAATATTACAATTAATATAATGGGCATATTGATAATCCATCACTCAATAGTCAAAGACTCGTATTATATTGATCTTTACAAATTAACACATGCATAAAACCATTATTATGTTATATTCTATTTAAGTCCAATACATAAAACATATGCAATTATTATATTTTAATTACTATATCAATTATTTTCTATTTTACTATTTTTTTTTTTACTTTTCAACAACCAAATATTAAATTTTGAAGTACTTGATAAATAATATATTTCTTTTTGTAAATAATAAATATTTTATAATAAAATGTAAATTAAAATATCAATTGGTAATTTATAAAATATATAATCTTAACTTAAAATATTTCATATCTATATATTAAAATTTTTAAAATACATATATGCAAATTCATAATTTTTAATTAATAAATCATTATTCCATTATTAACATTTTTATTTCAATATATTTTTTTTAAAATAAGAAATTATTTTTTATATAAATTTAAGTTAGTGGATTTGATAGATTTTGTAATCACCATGAACTCTTGGTGATTGGTCAAGTCTCCGAAGGTCCGGGGAGACGATGGGGAAGAGAGGGGAAGAGAGGAGAGAAGGGAGAAATCCCATTGAGAAGCCTTAGGGTTTAGAGCTATATGGTTGTTTGATCTGGGAGGAGGGTTGTCCCTCCTTTTATAGATGGGGTCCTAGGGCTATTAGGAGAAGATCCCAAAAGAGACTGCTCTTTATTAGGAAAGGGGATCTTTATCCTCATGTCAGTTATCAAGCAAATTCTATTAAAGTTTCACCACGTGTCTAGCGAGACTATCTAGGGGTAGAGTTTCCTTTCCCTAAGGATTCTCGCATAGCACGTGTTGGCTACACCTTTCATGGGTTCTCTTGTTGTCACATGTTGGGACTTTTGATCGACTGATTTGTCTGAATGTCTTCACAAGTCATCTTTAGAACACTTCATCACAATAAGCTGCAACCGTATGGAGCGTGAGTCACCTGTGAATAGACCTGTTCATGGGCCGGGTAGCCCGATGGCCTGGCCCGCACCCCGGTCGGGCTTGGTCATGTAATTAGGCCTGCGGGCCTGACCTCGGGCCTAACACAGTAAGCCCGACTGTGTTACAGACCGGGCTCGGGATTTGTCAAAAGCCCGGCCCAACTCAGCATTATATATTTTATATATTATATAATATATATAAATAATATAATATTTATTGAAATATATATATATATTTATAATTTAATATATACATTTTTTTATTTTTTTTTCTTTGTAATTTCTCTCTCACTCTCTCTCTCTCTCTCTCTATTCAGTCGCTTCAGCAATAGTAACAACATGGGATAAATTTCGGGCTCGAGCTTTTTATGAGGGCCGGGCTCGGGCCCAAGTTGTAGGCCCGATGGTCGGGCCGGGCTTGGGCTCGGGCCTTAGAAAAATCTGTTAATACAGAGTGAAAGCCCGACCCGAGCCTGGCCCAGCCCAACCCATGAACAGGTCTACCTGTGAATATATATTGCCGACTTTGGCTTTATTCATCGCTTATCATGGCGTGAACTACTATTTTATTCTCATCGCAGGATGCTGATAACGTATTAGGTCTGTTGTAGGCTTGTGATGTCATTTTATGCTCATTGCAGGTTTGGGATAGTACTCCGTGCTCATCGTGGGTCCTGGATAGTATTATGTGCTTATCGCAGATCTTGGATGGTGTTTTACGCTCATTGCAAGTTCGTAAGCCTTGTGTTACTTCTGTGGAGTGTTGTCGTGCTACTACATAGGTTTGTTGGCTATTTCGATTAATCTGGGCATTGTCCATCATCTTTCTCTACGACCTCAATCATAAATTCCATGAAGGTGAGCCACATGTACTTACAGATTTAGTATAATAGTATATGCTTGAAATTTTTATTTTTTATAAATAATAAATATGTTATTATCTAATGTAAATTAAAATATCAATTAATAATAAATATGTACAAATGTATGAATTTTAAGTACTAAAATAATTATTCTATTATTAATATTTTTTATTTGTATAAATTATTGAGAATAGAAAACCAATCTTTGATATAAATATAAATTAGTAGAATTTTTATTTCATTTATAATTATAAATATTAATTTTTAATATTATTCTTTGAACATATTAATTTTTAATATGACGTTTCTTTAGATTGTATGTTTACAATAAAGATAATAAAATTAATTTTTTTTTCACTTCTTATTGTAAATTAAAGGGTGGCTTAATGGTTTAGACACTAAGCGTTTAGCATCTAATTGATTTAACTATGATTCAAATTGTACTAATCACATTTTATATATGGGAGTTGTGTGCATTTCTGTGTGAATCAACGCGTATTGGTCCATATCGGTCGATGTGATACGCACGATTAACACGATATAATGGCAGTTGTAGTGTATCCAGTATTAGATATTTTAATCCATGCTACATCACGAGCATCTACTAATGAATGACAATAAAGATATGTTCCCGATGTGTGGTTACATTGAGCTGTTGGGACATTGTTGGGAGCATTTTATAGGTAGCTAACGGATATGGATGAGTTCAGGTTCGGTCAAGGCAAAGCCCGTTCGAGCAGCCTTTACGGCCTTGCATTGAGAAAATCTCCCTACTTATGTGCTTTATTTCATGGATCCCAATGCAAGGTTCCAAACGGCCATTGGAACAATGTGGGTACGGGCTTGTCCTGACAGAAGCTGATCTCCCAATAAAACCGGATTCAGCTAGTCCAAAGCCCGTTCAAACACCCATTATAACCTTGCATTGGATCTAAAGACTATTCCAACATAATTCAGATTTAGTTCAAACAATATTTACCGCCTTACATTGAGAATATCTCTATACTTATATATTTTATTTTATAGACTGTTAGAAAGGTGTAGACACAGATTTACTCTCATAGAAGCCGATCTCATTCCAACAGGCATTAGAAGAAGTATGGAAAAGTAAGGACAGAACCTATGAAATATCTGCACATGAAATAAAGCAATGAAGTAGGGAGATATTTACGATGCAAGGGTAAGGGCTATTCGAATAGTCATTGCATTGACTAAGTTTGAAGCCCGTCTCCCATAAAATAAGAGGTCGACTTCAGTCAGAAGGTGTTCGAACAGCGTTGCATCGGGAATATCTCCGTATTGCTATGCTTATAAAAGAGATATTTCCAATGCTAAGACTATATTGACTGTTGGAACGGATTGTAGAAATATTCGGCTTCAGTCAGTGCAAGGCGCGTTCCAATACTGTTCCAATAATTTTTACAGCCTTCAAATCCACAATATCTCCGTACTTTTATGTTTTATTTCATGATAGATATTTCTAATGTAAGGCTATGATGGCTGTTCGAACGGGCTTCGCACTGACTAATCCCGTTTCAGTTAATTGTTTGCCAGAAGGCCCACAACAAAGAAGAAGAGCGATGAGCAACAACCTCGGCTAGTGTCCGCTTTCTCAGCTCAAGTCAAGCACAAGCCTCAGTCAGTCATCCCCGTCGGCTGGGTCTGGGACCGAGAAATTTGCCTGCTTCTTCTTCAACCTCCAGACGAAGCTTACCAGTTCCAGCTCCCATGTTTCTCGCTCCACCAATGGTGAGAAACACCGCCACGTTGTCAAAATTCTATCAAGAAAACATTTCCTGCGACTGTGGTCACATGCGCGACCCTGAAGACGCTAATGTTCTAAAGAAAACGTGAAACATCGTTGATGTGGTGTTTTAAATTAAACCAAATGGCGGCCCCAAATTTTTAACCAAAAAAGGGAAAAAACAAATGGCTATCTTACGTGCTTCCTGTCGTCACTTCTCGTCTCGTCACCCTACGGCTCGCTATTGAAATGATGAAATCCTTCCTTTCTGACATGGCAACACCGGTTCTTCACGGGTTAGTCATGCCGACAGCCATCGCCACCAAAAGCTCGCGCAAGGTCGCCGTGATCGGTGCCGGCGCAGCTGGCCTCGTGGCGGCTAGAGAGCTGCGCAGAGAAGGCCATAACGTCGTAGTCTTCGAACGGAGCGATCGGGTCGGAGGGACTTGGGTCTACGACGCCAACGTCGAATCCGATCCAATGGGACTCCACCCTTCTCGGGCCATCATCCACTCCAGTCTCTACGACTCTCTGCGTACCAATCTCCCTCGGCAAGTCATGGGCTTTCTCGATTTCCCGTTTGTTGTCAGAGATGGAAAAGACAGGGACCCTCGAAGGTTTCCCGGCCACCGAGAGGTCTTACTCTATCTGGAGGATTTCGCGCGACATTTCGAACTCACTGGATTGATACGGTTTGACACTGAGGTGTTTCATATTGGTCTGGTAGAGGAAGGAAAGTGGATACTAAGGTCCCGCAAGAGAACTCGAACTGATACTGATGCCCAGGACGATTTGTGGATCGAAGCGGGTGAGATTTATGATGCTGTTGTTGTATGTAACGGGCACTATACAGAACCCCGAATTGCGGAAATTCCAGGTAATTCTGATTATTTTCCTCTGGACAGTTGTTTCAGAGACCCCCCCCCTGCCTTCCAAAAACATTTCATTCTCTTGCGGTCAAAGTTTGGGTGCTAGCTTTCTGCAAATCATGGATTTACTTGCTCTTTATATAAATACTGTTGCTGCAGTTTCTTCTTGCTTTTAGTGTGAAAGCAGATTAAACCGGTTTATTTTTGGATATTACATACGTAGTGTAGGCTTAGGCACCATTGGTTTCTCTGTAATAGGGATGTAAATCTCAAATCTTCGCAATCTGTAAAATTTCAGTAACAAAAAACATTGTTACAAACTTCCAGTTTCACTGAAGTTGGTGGAAGAACAACGAATGGCTAGGAAGTTAAGGTTTAATATCATTTCATATTTACTGAATTAGATTGAATAAAATTTCAACAATCAGAGTGATGTGCAGGGCGACACATCTGAAAAGGTTCAGTTACCAAAGCTTGAATTTATTAAATTGATGGGGGCCTTACATGATAGCTAACTTGCATTTTAATCTGCTATATGAATTATCTCTATTGTAAGAATGAGTGTGAAAATTGAAGTGTCTTTATAGTATCAATTTATAACTTATTGCTGTACATCCAACTGAAAACCCTTCCCGGGGGATGACAGCTATAGTTTGGTTATGTGAAGAAAACAATTATTCCCTTCATGGTATAGTAGATATTGGTTTATTATTAGAGTTCATCTTCAGTAGTTTTCCATTCAAAAAGAAAAATAAGAATGTATTGCTGGTAATTTCTGTTGATCAGGTATACAGTTGCTTCATCAGTTACATTGCAACATGTTTTTACTTTTACAGATTCTCACTCATCTACACTTCCTCACAAGAATTGATAAATTTACCTGAATCTGCTTGAGCATATAACTGGCACTTGAGACAAGTTTATGACACATTGTCAAAATTTGTGGTTCTCTACTATTAAAGCTTCTATCATACATATGTTGAAGAAACTAATGAACATTAATTAATTTGTGATTTAAAAAGGGCAGYCCAGTGCACAAGGCTCCTGCCAATGCGGGGCCTGGGAGGGGCAGATGTACGCAGCCTTACCCCTGCACATACAGAGAGGCTGTTTCCAAGATTTGAACCCTGATCACCCAGGTTGCAGTGGAGCAACCCAACCATTGCTTGCGTTTATGCTCTTGTTCTAGGGGAATCTTCACTTACCCCCACCTAACAAATTTTAACTTCACTGTACAGTTGATAACAGTGACAGTGGGGGGAGTTGATGCCAATTCAGGGGGGGGGGTATGGTGTCAAAGTGGGTGTTGGAAGTTTTGAATTGTTGTGGGAGTATGGTCAATTTAAATTTGTTAGGTGGGTTTCAGTTATATTTTCCCTTAATTTTTTTGGGATAATATTAGACCGGTTTTAGTCCTTCCAAATTTAAAAGAAGGTATTAGTATTTTGGATGGAATGCCTGTTTCCATTCCCTTGTGTTTTTACTTTTATATTGCAAAAGTCAATGGAAAATATCACTTCCCCTGATTTTCTTGTCTCTGGCATTTATCTTTCTGCCTTGATTGAAAGAAGACCAAAACCATGATGGGACACAAAACTTATCAGATATGATACAAGATACTGCATGGACACTTCTAGATGTACTCTATAGCATTTAACACTTTTTTTTTTTTTCTGATTGTTATATAGCATTAATATTTAAATATGTAAAATGGTGTGTTTTAACAAATTATACCATTAAAAAATCTTTACAACTTAGAAGCTTAATTAAATTTGGCAAGACATAAGTCTTGATAAAGGACATTCACATTGAGAAGGTAGATATAAAGGCATGATATAAGCATGTCATATAGGATACCCATACTCATATCCCATGGCCAAGATTTTAGGAAATGGATTCATATTCCCATTTCCTGTATCCATATCCATGTATGCACTCATATTATCTGTATAACATCATAGGGCCTAAAGAAATCTATGGTGGAACCATAATCAGGAATGGACATTTTCAACTTGCCAATAAGTAGGAGCTGTTTTCTGGAACCATAATAATTGTTCTAAACATGTTACCTTGGTAATATAATTACAGCCACTGTGGTGAACTTTGTTATTGTTTCACTTGTATTCAGTTGGAGATGCACATGAACTGGCATTATTCCGCAGGGATATCTTAATTTTAAGGATACCAATAACATAATTGTATTGAACAATTAAAATGAGTCAAATGACTGAAGAATGCTTTGCTAGGTATCAATGTTAAGTAAAAACTACTCTTTTCCATGTAACGTATTTACCTAAACATTGTGTGTTCTAATTGCTACAGACATTTTTTCCAGGTGTTGAAACTTGGCCAGGGAAACAAATGCATAGCCACAATTATCGCATTCCTGAGCCATTCCGTGATCAAGTATGTTCTGGTTCTCACTCCCATCTCCCCTTTAAGCTTCAAGATTTTGTGTACCACACTGTATATGGGGCAGAATTTTGACACTATGGACTTAGTTCTTGTTTTGCACTCATCCAACTACTATCTTACAAGTTGTAATAAACTTCTCTAACGTTATTGTTGATGGGATTTTAAATTTCAGTTTCACCATTGATCATTGCTGATGAGAATCTGAATTAGGCTTTTGAAAAATCCCAAGGAGCATTTATCATGTTAAAAACAAGTGCAGCCTGCCTGGGATATCCAAGAAAATAAATGCTCAGACCACATGAATAACTATCGCTAAGATGTAGATCAAGGTTTGCATTCATTGCATATAAAGGTCTAAGCCAGATCCTAGATTTTTCCCTAAATGAGGCAAGTAACTTGGCTCAGATTCTTCCCATTTTATGAAATTCCATATTTCACAGAAAGAAAAATAGTGTGTTATGTACATTTGAGGAAATTAAGACATTAACTTACTGTAAGCTTTAGAATTCTGCTTGTTCTCTGGTATAGAGCAAGCACTATCATATTTGGTAGTTTTTGTTCATCGTTAAGATAATAGTTCAATGGTTAAATGATATGCTGTTGAACATGATAAACTGATTGCATTGGAGACTATGGATGAGAAGGTGGAATAGGCTGCAAAAGAGTAGAAGGCAATTATCAACCAAGTAGCTTTAATTATTCCCTATATTCATCGTGGCATTCACTGAGTGACTGTTAGTAGAGTTATGTTGAAAAGTTTTGTATCCACAGATTTTAATTTTGGAATTTTTAGTTTTTTGGTTCGACTACTGGCATCAACAAACCTGTGATTTCAAATATATCTAAAATATTTACAAAAGCGTTCAGAAATGCTACAAGTTATTTAACAGTTGAAACTGAGAAAACTAAGATTTTACTAATTTTTGAGGTGTTGGGTTAGTTTTGGCAGAGGTGGACCTGCAAACCAATGTGATTATAAATGGATCATCACTTAGACATTCATACCAACCTCCCTATCTACATATTGGTCCCTGTTTTGGATACACACCATTGGGTTGTCTGGATCCATTAACAGCCCTTGTTAAATGGGTTAAGGGATATTAATGGTTCTGTAGCTATGAGGTTCAACCCGGTCTTGTTTGAGAAAAAAAAGCAGGTAACAAATAGTTAAGTCATTCAAATTGTCAGAGCAGAAGGGAATTGTCTTTCTTGATTGCACCTGCACTATGTGCAAGCTTTAGAGGTGTGAAGTAGAAAGTCATATGCCACGTGCAGCATTTTGGAATATTGCTTAATTCTACATCATTTTCCTATATGTACTCACGCATGCACACATATCTTCTTCTCTTCCCTTGTAGCACTGACGGCATATGAAAAGCACATGGTAGCAATAGGAACTCAGACTAGATTAAAAATAACATATTAATGACAAAGTTGACTGATTGTTGTAAATCTTTTCCTTTCTGTTTCCTTTATTCCTTAAAAATCATTTATTTCATTCACTCACTGCTATGGACAGGTTGTGGTTTTGATAGGAAGTTCTGCTAGTGCTGTTGACATTTCCATGGACATTGCTGTTGTTGCCAAAGAAGTTCATATTTCTTCAAGATCTGCAACTCCTGGAGAAATTGGAAAGCTGGCTGGATATGATAATATGTGGCTTCATTCTATGGTAATAACATTCTCCTGTGGTGAGTGAGAGTTAGTAGTTCTCATAAAGAAACCAGCAAGGGATAAATTCGAACATATGCGTTCAGAAATGCTCATTCAGTTAAATTAATGCAGGTTGAAAGAGCTCAAGAAGATGGCACAGTGGCATTCCAAGATGGGAGTTTTGCCCATGTTGATGTCATTCTGCACTGCACAGGGTATGTCTTGATTAGTATGGCTCTGACTCATGGAATAATTAGTACAAATGTGCAATGAAAAATGGGTCAACATTAAATGAATCATGAAAAAGGAAAGTGGCATAGATGCAGTCCTGACAATCCAGGGTCTTGGGAGGGGTGGGCTGGGTATGGTCCTAACTTCTAGCAATTTTTACAGGTGTTATATCCTTTTCTATTCTAGTCTCTGTTTTGTCATATAACTGTATAAGCATCGTGGGGGTGAGGAGGGGACATAAGATATCAATTAGGCCAATGTTAACGCCAAAGGCTTGTCTGTCACTGAGCCCTTAAATCAGAAAAAAGACAAGTTGAAGATATCCTAACCCCCTTTATTTGCACAATAAACTCTCTTTAATTTTGTCCTTTTTTATTTAATGGCCCCATGATGGGCAGGACCTTTTTTTTTCTTGAAAAGTAATAAGGAAATAAATACAAAGATAGAGGGGGACTGATTCACAAGTGCATCAGCTTGTAGCTACAAGATAACAGGGTCATCATAAATCAAATTCCCCCAGTGATTACAAAAGTTATCAAACTTGATCTCCCTAAAATTTTACGAATAGAAGCCCATTGGATGAGACGTCTCTCAACCTGCCACAAACCATCTCCACAAGACTGCTGCTGTTTGTAAAAGATCTTCTAACCGCGTGCATTTGAAACATACCATCAAATGGCAGCTGGAACCATGTTCCAAAGGATCTTACCACGCCTGATCAGATTAGAAGTTCACCAAGAAGAGACTAAATCCTTTAAATCAGGAAGGGTCACCTATAGCTGCCCAAACAACTCCAACATGCAGGGCCCATTATCATTATTTTTTGTGATGCAGAATCTATTTTGTCATACAACAATGCAAATGTGTACTTCGATTTTTTTCAAAACAAAATCTTTAGTAACATTCCTCAAATATATTTACACACCGCTTGGTCCATAACTCAGAACATCTTTTCTGGGTTATTATTTCCTTCCCAGAGGCACTGCATTCCTTTCAATTTTAGCTTTGTTTTGGTTACTTTGTGTTTTGTGGAGGTTATTGATAACATTCTTTATAATACCTTCTTATTCATATTTCCTTTTCAGTTTTCACTTTTGATCTTTTGCTGCTCCCAACTTTGAACCCAAAAAATGTAACAGCCAAGCCAGTTCCAGGTATTGCAAGTAGTGTTGTACAATTGACAGTTGAATCTTAAAAGAACCTAGTGCCCATCCTTTGTGTGATATTTGCATCTGTTGTTTTTTAATCTTTTCCATCTTGTTGCACTGTACTGTAAGAAAGTTTGTGGTGAATTTTTCTGGACAGAACTGATAGTTTGGATGGATGAACTGTTTTAGTTCAGTCATTTTTAGCATATGTCTCATACATGCATCCTTCCATACATGAATTTCATTCACCCAAAGTCTCTGAAATGGATGATCCATTTTAAGGGTTCATCTCATTCAGGTGCCAAAATCTATAGGACTCAATGGCAACACAGCAAACCTGCCGCATTGAATCCTATGCTTGGGACCAGTGCTTAAAGATTCATGTTTGGAGCTGGGGATTAAGGAGAAATGTTGCACAACCATCAACCTTTAAGTTATTTCTTTCCATAAGCTCCAAATATAATAAGATCTGTTTTTTTTTTTTTTTTTCACAGGTACAGATATCATTTTCCTTTTCTGGAGATGAGGAATATCCTTAGTGTGGATGACAATCGTGTAGGACCACTATACAAGCACATATTTCCTCCATCTTTAGCTCCATGGCTCTCCTTCATTGGACTACCTTTTATGGTTTGTCTCAGAGACATTATGTGCTCTTTATTTTTGATAATTTATTAGTCTTTTGATAGTGGAGGTTTATCTTTCCATATTTGTGGTGCCAGGTTGTTCCTTTCCCTTTGTTTGAATTACAAAGCAGGTGGGTAGCGGGTATTTTATCAGGTCGGTTTACACTTCCATCAGAAGAAGAAATGATGGAAGATGTGAAGGACTTCTATTCAAAGATTGAATCTGCTGGCTGGCCCAAGCGATACACTCATAAGATGGGAGATTCCCAGGTAAATTTGATCTAAGGATCTCATTGATGATGAAAGTCCAATTAAATTCCCTTACGAATTGATGTTTAATGCACTATTTGATTTCCACGTGTATATCCATCTCCATACACACATCCGCAGATAAATATAGACAAATAATTTGATGTAGAACAGGTGTTGCTAAAAGGTTTTTAGAAGCCCATGATTGACAGAAAAAGAGAGGCCAAAAGAGACACTAAAACTTTAAACGGCCATTACTTTTGATCTGGGCATCTATTTTCGACAAAATGATTGTTTTGGCCTCTGAAAATGTTTTTTTCTAAAAGATTTCCTTTTATAGTAAGTTTTTATTTTTTTGTCATTATAACATATTTTGAGTTTGATATTGTTTAGGAAGTCTTCTTTCAGTAAATTACAATGTTTTAGAGAGTTTTGAGTCCAATCAGAAAGTTTATTATTTTGGGAATGCTCCACATTACCTATAAATAAACGACTGTACAAGGTCAAATTTAGTGAATTGAATACTAGCAAAATCTATGGTGCATGAACTGCACTGTGAAGCAAAAAACCTGAATCAATGATAAAGCGACATGTCACAGTTGGATCCTTAATGTTGTTAAAGTCTTTAATGTTAAGTACACCCTATGAAACATGAACCAATGAAAAGTAAATGGACCATGTGACATCTTTAACACTGATTGTTGAAATTTGATTTAAGGTGCATCAATATTTGAAATGCACCATAGTTGGACTCTTGAATACTATTTTCTTGTGTTTCTTCTCCTTCTCCTTGTGGATTCAAATCTTTGTTTCTTTTGAAGAAGACAGTGCTCTTCTTCCTTTACACTTCATGCTACGTCATAATTCATTTTTCAATCTATGAATTGCCAATGATAATTTCTGTGTTAGGGACATGTTTTGACTGTAATAGCATCGTGTCTATACTCTATAGGAACAACCATATCAACCTTCTCCTTTGGAAGAAATGGAAATTCCATAAAGCTCACAATTTAACTTATTTTCTTGATTAGCAAAAGGAACATATGGGGTTCACATGCCTCTCTTCTACAATTTGGAGAATTCTTGTGTGGCAATATGTTTTAGGGCCCTTTTGATATGATAAAAGTCTCTTACTTCTATGGAAAGAAAGAAATAAGAGAGTATATTAATTTGTATTTTAGTGAACTTTAATGGTGATTTTGAATGTTGGGTGCAGTTTGTGTATAATGACTGGCTTGCCACCCAGTGTGGATGTTCAGGCATAGAGGAATGGAAAATTCAGATGTATCATGCCAATCGAAAGAACAGGGTAGACCGACCAAAAACATATCGTGATGTATGGGATGATGAACATCTGATTCTACAAGCAGATGAATACTTTCGTCAGTACTCAAATGGAGGTAACATGTGATAAAGCGGAAAATACAGAGGCTTCTATGACTCAAGCTGGAAATAGTCCGCATTAACCATTTCCTTGCATCGGAGTTGCTATTTCCATTGCTAAAGAGACCACGATGACAAATTAAGGCCTTTAGATGGTGAATGTTTCAACCATTTGCCTTCACGATTCTTGTATCACCTATTGTTATTGGGGCCACTCCTTGATTCTTGAAGATATGCTTATTTTTACTCTTAGAATCCAATATATGATGTCTTAGTGATCTTCCTATTTATGAATCTTTTGAACAAAAGCTTGAGAATTTATCCAAGAAAGGAGAAAGAATTGAGTGAATTTGTAGAGTTCTTTAAGGATGTTGGTGATTTACTAATGAAAGCTATTATCGAAGAAGAGAATGAAGGGAGAGAAAGGAAGAGGCGAAGAGAAATTGTGAGAGAGCAAAAAATCTTGGCTAACAATAATATATATTGTGTAGGGTGACTAATAATAATAAAAAGACTAAAGTGCCTTGTGACATAACCAAGAGCATTACATCACTACTCCTTAAGTCGGGGTATAGATATCAATCATATCCAACTTGTCACAAAAAATCATTATGTTAGTAGTGATAAAGATCTTTCGCAAGAATATTTGTAAGTTGCTCTTTTGGGCTAACACATGGAGTGCACACTTCTCCCTTCTCTAATTTCTCTTTGACGAAATGTTTGTCCACCTTAATGTGCATTGTTATATTATGGAGGACAGGGTTAAATGCAATATTGATGGCAGTTTTAAGCTATGTTTGGTTTGAAGGAAAATGAAGGGAAATATAGTGAAGCTTTTACAAACCTTGTATAGGTTTCCCTTCCTTTCCCTACTTTTTCCTTCAAACCAAACACAGGCTTATTGTCACAATAGGGTGACATAGGACCATCAAGAGGAAAACCTAGTTTACTAGCAGATTCTCAATTATAAAAGTTCTGCAACTCTATGGGTCATGGCCTTATACTCCGCCTTTACGCTAGACCTAGACACTACACTTTGTTTTTTACTTCTCCAAGTAACAATGTTTCTTCCTATAAAAGTATAATATCCATTGGTGGATTTTTTGTCATCCACAAAATTAGCCCAATCAACATTAATATAAACTTCAACTTTCATATGCCCATGCTTCTTGAAGAGAAGATCCATCTGTGGAAACTTCTTTAGGTATTTGAATACTCTCTCTATCGTCTCTTTAGTGTTCTACCTTAGGTGCATGCATGAATTAACCAAGGACGCCCACAACATATGCAATGTTAGGCCGTGTCATAGATAGGTAGAAAAGTCTTCTTACAAGTCTTTGGTATGGTTTAATATTTTTTATGGGCTCATCCTTACAATCCCTTAAACTATGATCTACATCTATCAGAGTGTCATATGGTTTGCTCCTAATTTTCCTATATCTTTCAAAAGATCAAAGATATACTTCCTTTGAGAGATGAAGGTTTCTTGTTGAGAGTGGGCAACTTCAATTCCAAGGAAGTAACATAATAGTCCTAGATCATTCACCTCAAACTAGGTGGCTAAAAATTCTTTCAACTTCTGTATATCTGAGACTCCATCATGAAAGATAACTACGTCATTGACAATCAAGACAGTCGTTTTTCCCTAATCTTTTACAAAGAGTGTGTGGCTAGTCTGACACTACTTGAATCCTATATGTTGCATAGTTTGGTGGTATCTACTAAACCAAGCCCTTTGTGACTATTTTAGACTATATAGAGACTTCTTTAATTTGCACACTTTTTGTTTACTACTTTTAGTACAAAAACAAGGTGGTTGGATCATGTACAATTCTTTCTCCAAATCACCATTGTGATTCATAGAGAATACCCATTTGCATCCTATAGTTTTTTTTTTTTCCAGGCAGAAGTGTCAATGTCAATAGGCTCAAGGACATCAACATGAATAATAGTACCTAGATTGAAGGGATCCAACTCCTAAAGAATCCGATGGTATTGGTTGCACAACTTCTAGTTGCTCCACAACTTTTGAACTTTGCTAGTCCTGGCCTTCATAACATTGTCTAAGAAAGACACATAATGGAGGAGGATCAGAGAGATGAGATAATATAACTTGTTTCTGTTTCTCCTCAACCTTACTCTCTTGAAGAGAAATAGAGAAGTAGGGTTTATTCTCAAAGGAAGATATATCCATAGAAATGAAGTATTTTTTTTTAAGAAATAGGTCAAAACAATGATAGCCCTTCTAAGAAAGTGGGTAGCCAAGGAAAACACACACAATAACTTTAGGGTCAATTTTATCACGGGTAGGGATTAGGGATTAGGGAATAGATCATGAATGAAACATCGACAATCAAAGACATGTATTGGTATAGGAAATAATAGAGCTTTAGGGAAGAAAAGTTGATGTGGAGCCTTATATTTTAATAATCAAGATGGTATGCGATATATAATATAGGCAGTAGTCATAACAACATCCACCCAAAACCTTTTTGGTATATTCATTTGTAGAAACATTCCCTGAGCTACTTCTAGGAGGTCACAATTTTTCCTTTCTACAACCCCATTTGAGGGAATGGCTATTCCCTCCCCCTCTCTTGGGAATGAAATCCTATTCTCGTTGATTCCAATTTTCATTCCCAATGTTCTTGTCTGAACTAGGGGTGAGCATTATTCGGTTAAAACAGAAAAACCGAACTGAAAATTATGGTTTCGGTTTTTTCAGTTTGATTTTTTAGTTTTTGGTTAATTCAATTCGGCTAATTCGGTTTTTTGGAATTTTAGTTTTTGGTTTTTGGTTTTCAAAATTAGAAACTCAGTTAAGCAAAAAAACCAAATTTCAATATATAACATGTAATATATAATATATAATATGCTATATATTTATATAATAATACATTATATATAATGTATTATAATGAAATTCAATTTCATAATATATATTAAAAAATATATATATATATTATAGGTTATAATATATAATAATTTATGTATATTAATTAAATTCGGTTTTAACCGAAATAATCGAAAACCGAGCAAAAAATTTTGGTTTTCTTGCAATTCAGTTTTGGCTCAATTTTTATTATTTTATTTCAGTTTTAAAAATTTCAATTTATTCGGTTCAGTTTTTAATCGAATAAACCAAATGCTCACCCCTAGTCTAAACCAAACAGACTATGGGAATAGACCATTTTGGTTCCCATTCAGATTCTGACAGCAAACCAAACGGACCCTAAACATTACATCAAAGGTAATACATCGTAAAGAAGAAGATAGCTTTGGAAATACTAGATGACTGAATCCTTGGGTGCAAACCTATGGCATCAATTTTGATTTCTTTGAGCAAAATATAATAGACACAAATACGTAGAACTCAACAATACGATAGTTAGTTTCCACCTTGTCATAAATTTTGAGATGATCAATTTTTGTACTGATTGAAAAGTTGTTTTTTTTTTGTGATTTTAAATACATATTGACTTTTAAGATCACTAATATGTGCAATACTTATGGTTAGGTGGTTTTAAAAGGTTTAAATAGTAATTATAAACTTACTATAAATTGTTAGAAATAAAATGTTAAAAGGACAAGCAGTATCGATCAAATTATACATCAAGTTTACACTCGACCCATTGATCCTTGCATATATGAATATATGATATAAAAGATTATTATTTTTTTTTTGTTGGGGAAGATATACTACAGTAGCAAAAATAAGTGTGAAAAGTAATTCCCTAAGTTTGGGTGTTAAAATGGGTTTGTCAACAACAATGACAACAGATAAATAATTCAGCGAAGTAACAGAAAATACAAATAGCAGCCACCACACAATAGTACACTAGAATTTTTATGTGAAAAACCCCAAAATTGGGGAAAACCATGGAACCTATAGTCCTTAAAAGTCTTCCACTAATTCAGAAATTAATAGATACAACAGTCCTCTCTAATAGCAACTAAAGGTTTACAGACATCAATGATATAATCCTTAGCTCAAAAGTACAACATTAACATCATCAAATATAAGGTGGATTCAACAAGAACAAAGATTTGAATGTCACCAAGTTTCTATAAATATGAAACTGAGAAGAAAGGAAGAGACAACCAATTTGAATTGGAGTGAGATTCTTGACTCCTTGAACAATACTTAATCACATTAAGAATGGGCTTGATAACACATCCGAACTTGGACTTGAATGGAATAGAAACCAACTTTTTCTTCTCTTCTTCACAAAACTCAAAACCCAAAAAGACTATCGGTTCTCTTTGTTTCTCTTCTCTCTTTCTCACTTCAGTGGTTACGAAATGGAAGCACACCAAATAAAAAAAAAGGTGGGAGCCTTTTTGGCTTCCACAATACATCTCCTTTTTGGGAGCATGAAAAGGTGAGGTGGGCCCCTCATATGGGTTGGACCCATACCCAATAATTCTCCCCCTCTAGCTCATACGGGGGGATTCACCAAGTCCGCAACTTCTTTGCAAAATTCAAATTTGTCTCTAGAAAATGACTTTGTTAATATATTTGCACCATTCTCATCAGTATGGGTCTTCTCAATATTTAACAACTTCATATTCAACACATCCCGAATCCAACGGTACCTTACATCAATGTGTTTGGATCTTGCGTGAAAAGTTTGATTTTTAGAGAAATGGGTAACACTCTAACTATCACAATAGAGAACATATCTTTTCATTCCTCATCCTTGGAAGAACTTCTTTAACCATAGGATCTCCTTATAAGCTTCTGTAGTTGCAATATATTTTGCTTATGTGGTGGACAATGCAACACACTTTTGAAGTTTGGATTGCCATGAAATTGCTCCCCCTGCAAAAGTCATTAAGTATCCCGAAGTGGACTTTTAGGAGTTAACATCACCAATCATGCCTGCATCTATATACCCATCCAACATGACTTTACCATTCCCGAAGCATAAGCATATCTGAGTACCTTTGAGATACTTGAATATCCATTTTAATGAAGCCCAATGTTCTTTTTCCTAGGTTAGAGAGAAACCATCTAACTATACCAACAACATGAGCAATGTCTGGCATTGTGCATACCATATCATACATTAAACTTCCAATTGCTGATGCATCAGGCACTTTCTTTATTTCTGCTTTGTCTTTTTCACTTGTAGGACATTATTTAGTGTTGATATTGAAATGAATTGCAAGTGGAGTAGTAATTGGTTTTAAAGTGCTCATGTTGAATATCTTAAGAACCTTTTCAACATATTTTTCTTGGAATAACCATAACTTCCTATTTTGTTTGTCTCGAGAGATCTTCATACCAAAAAATTGTCTAGCCGGTCCCAAGTCCTTCATTGCAAAAGGCTTGCTAAGCTCATTTTT